CAACACGTAGCAAGGCAGGGCTGACAATAAAGGAGCAAAGGATGACAACATTTGTGTTTAGAGAATGTCGTTTTGGCGATATCTCCACCCAATCACAAATGTTTGAAATTCTGCTATAGATATAGATAGTGGCATTCACGATTCATGTAAGTTCTTCTCGTGCTCAAGAGACACAAAACAAAGAGACCGTCATAGTTGCATATTTCCGTTGCATGTAAGTAGTTCTTATTTTTAGAACACGTAAGTTCTTCTCATGTACTTTCACTTCATTTTAATTTCATAGGACCAATGTTGCTGATAAAGAGATCATCAACGAATTAACCTCTCTCTAATTGTTAACAAAACCATCAACATACGATTTACAAAGATACAACCGAATCCGAAAACGAACCCTTCTTTGCTTCCAACATGCACCAAAGTTTTTTTATAATAAAAAACTCCTCCTAGAAGTAGTACTCATCTTTTATTTCATTTCCAGCAACAACAAAAATAATAGTTGAAGAGTTGAAAGAGAGTCTTGTTATATCGCGATAAGAGTTGAAGAGAAGATATTATGAGTTAAGAGCTGAGATGCCCAAGTCATTGGATACCTTCCGTCAGTGGCCAGGTGGAAAGTTCAATTTATGTTTATTTTATTTTAATTTCTACGTTCAAAGTTTTCTCTATTACGATAAGGCTTGGCCTTCCTCACTTCTCTTCACAGGAAACTGTTATTCACGCGCCTGCACACATGCTCTTTGGTTTGGCTTTGCCCGCTGCTTGGAGAGTGCTGTCCACTTACTTTAGGAGAGTGGTTTTGATATCTTTAAGACACTTGCGCTCAGTTTTTCTGAACGACCCTGGTGGCAGTTCATCAATTTGGAAAGTCACTAAAAAAAAATTTGCAGCAACAAACTTAACTGCCTTGCAAGCACAAACCTACCTATAATCATCAAACAACTTCGGCACCGAGTTTTTATTTTGGTGCGATGAGATTAGGCCACTTTTGAGCTTGCATCTACTCTGATTAGAACATAATCATGATTCATTACCCCATGAATACTAGGTTGAGTTCGGGGGTCATCACATTAGGTAAGGGGTGGTCACTGGGCATGTTCGGGGACACAAGGGTGGGGGCCGGGGGGGGCACACGCGAGTCTTTGCATCATGTCTGCTTGCTCAAGGTGACAAGTTCTATCTCATAGTGTCAATGTTGACTTACTTCATTTATAATGCAATTTGAAGTAACACCTATTTATGTGAAATTTAGAATGTAATTTTCTTGATGTCAAATTGTGAATTCAAGGCTATAGGCTTATGTTACATGGTGTATGTAAACAATTTTTGGTGAATTTTTTGAAATTAAGAAGGAAAAGGGTATCGGGACTGGGTCCATAGCCGAACATAAGATTCGAAGGTTCCAGTCCAAGTGCGGCAATTCCATATACTATATTTTGAGATTGGAGTGCGATGAATGTGTGGTGATGTAGAAAGAGTGAATGATAAATGAATGCAGAAAAAATAAACGAAAACATTCTATGGTTGTTTTTAAAAGTCACCCTTATTTCGAAAACTATTATTAAAAAAAAAAAAACTTGGTTTCAGTTTTACAAAAAAATATAAAATTGAAAACTAAAAGCTTAAATGGGAAATAGTTATCAAATGGACGTTTAAATGCATGTGTAGGCAACTCTAACCTAGATGTTTTCACTTTTTCCGAAAGTAGAACAGCTAGACCAGTTATACTCTTGTCTTCATGATTACGAGGGAATTTTCACTTCTAGTTCGGATATGATTTTAACCAATTCAACATCTTCATGAATATTTCCTCTTTGCTACTTCTTTCCCAGCCCCCTTTTGTCTTTTCCAATTAACTCATTAATCTTCATTGGACCATAGTAATATTTTGAACTTCTTTTTATTACATTGGAAGAAATTAAACCTATCTAGTCTTAAGCGATTTGTCCACACCCTCCCTCATATGTCTTCAATTTTAAAGTTTTTTGGGTGAAGAATAGGTGTGTACGATGTTATTAGTCCGAACAAACTAGACTGAGCTATAACACCGTTTTAATTAGTTTGAAACAAACTCAAGTTATATGAGATGTTTTATTTTCTTCATAAGATGAAATATTATAAGATTTTAAGGTTATTTTAAATTAGAGGCGTTACATGAGAAACGTATGTTATTATAAGATTTTAAGTCTTGTGCATGCATTCTTCTTCATGTCATCTAATAATAACATACGCCATAGCTAACCTCAAAAGGGATTGCTTTGTGGTTGGCTTGCAATGATGCAGGTCGTCTCGCCCAACATCTCGGCTTTAATTATTTCCTCTTTGCTACTTCTTTCCCAGCCCCCTTTTGTCTTTTCCAATTAACTCAGTAATCTTCATTGGGCCATAGTAATATTTTGAACTTCTTTTTATTACATTGGAAGAAATTAAACCTATCTAGTCTTAAGCGATTTGTCCACACCCTCCCTCATATGTCTTCAATTTTAAAGTTTTTTGGGTGAAGAATAGGTGTGTACGATGTTATTAGTCCGAACAAACTAGACTGAGCTATAACACCGTTTTAATTAGTTTGAAACAAACTCAAGTTATATGAGATGTTTTATTTTCTTCATAAGATGAAATATTATAAGATTTTAAGGTTATTTTAAATTAGAGGCGTTACATGAGAAACGTATGTTATTATAAGATTTTAAGTCTTGTGCATGCATTCTTCTTCATGTCATCTAATAATAACATACGCCATAGCTAACCTCAAAAGGGATTGCTTTGTGGTTGGCCTGCAATGATGCAGGTCGTCTCGCCCAACACCTCGGCTTTAATGGTATATTTTAGCCCACTTGTATTGTAAACATACAAACTTGTTGGTCTTGGCTCTTGGGAGAGATAACCAACCTTAGTCAACAACTTCCCAACTTGGTTTTAATGGTCACGACCAAATCCAATTTGTTGCATTTAGCTAACTCTCCAAGGAAAGATGGAATTGATTACATAAGAAAAAAAGATTAAAATTTTTAACTACAATTTGGGCACTAATTTCGATGGTGTTTAAGTAATAAATATACTCTTGAATTTAACACCTCGTTTTCACCGATGGGCCGTACAAACCCACACGTGTGGAAATGGAAAAGCAGCCAGTGATGGCGCTTCCCTCCCTTTTCACGCACCCCCTCGCGCCCTGCCTTGTCCCCACCCAACCCACAATTCACGCGCTTTTTACCTTTTTTAATTCCCAAAATATTAACTCACACCGCCACCGTGACTTCATCGGCACTACAAGTCTACAGCCACCTCAGGAGCGTGTATCTCTGCAATTTCAGTAAAATTATCAGAATAATATTTTACTTTTTTTTCTCGTACACTCTACTAAGGTGTAATGGATACTTTATGTCTTACATAAAACATATTACGCGATTCCGTACTCTATTCCAAATTTCGCAAGAAGTCATTACTAAGAGACATCTCAGTATTTAGTCATTTGAAGGTCTCTTTTATTAGTTTTAATATTAGAAAAAAATGTATTCTCTATATATCGTTTATTCCTATGAAATACTAGACGAAATAGAACGATCTTAGAAGGGATATAATGAAATTCTTTGATTTGTTCTTCCCAGAAAAATGCTCCGTTTTAGTTATTTGATCAATAGGGAAAACAAATAATTAATTTTATAATTAATTATAACAAATATAAAGATTCGAACATAAAATTACTAGTCTGTATGTGAAAAAGCTTTTTCACAAATCTAGACTCTATTGATGAAAAAATTTGTCCATTAAGCAATATTTCCGTCCTGAATTTCTTTCTTGGCAGAAAAAAGAAAAATTGCTTTGAAGCATGCGCTAGTTGAATTGAAATCAAAGTATTGGCAGGAAAGAGATCCCAATCTTTTGTTTTGAAAAAAATCGGCGAGAAAAAAGAACGGCGGAATCTCACAGGAGAGCGTTGGGTAAGGCGCTCGCTGTCGCGGGCTTTCAGCGTTTGCAGCTTTTGCTTCTCCTAAAAGCTCATAATGAGTGGCGCCATTAAAAACTCATAATTCATATTTTATTTTTAAATAACAAATCCCAACATTTTGGACCTACTTAAAACTATCATCATGTTATCTCAATCACATCATTGATGACCAAAATTTTTTAAACTTAGAAAGTTGATAATTATATTATTGTAACATAATTAGTTGATCATTTTTTTTTCTCTTTTATAAAGTTCATTGTCGATTTAGTTTTCACCAAGGTTCTTATCATTGATTTAGTTCTTAGAAGAACCCCGTCATTTCGCATTATGAGCTTTTCAATGAAAACGAGAGATTCAAATTTGAAACATCTTCTAAATTATAAGTTTTTAGTGTCAAATGATGTAATGGCGAGAATAAATAGATTTCATATCAGTCCTTTTCTAAACTTTGCATCATAAAAAGCTGTTTGTAATAATTATGTTACTGATGGTAGCGTACGCCAATGATTCAATTTGATTCTTCTGTTTTTAATATTCCCAATAGCAACTCACACGTGAACAGTCACATGCTCCTTGGAATCTTTCACTGATCCCAAGTCGACTCATATATATAATTTCCTTTCATAAACCTAAATTACAGATTAATTATTTAAAATCTAAAACAAACAAATTAGATGAGACCATTTACATCAGGACATAAAGAGAATCAGTCCAAACCCTAACCATTAAAGCAAAAAAAGAAAAAAAGAAAAATACAGCAAGAGAGATTTTAGAGGGTAATTTTGTAATATCATTTTTAGTAACCTAAATTTTATCCAACAATCACAATTCACAGATAGAGAAGCTTCTAACTTATTAGAGAATTGATAAAACAACATAAACAAACATGTTCAAGCTCTTTCTTGTTATAATAGACAGACACAAATGACTCTCCCAATGTTTATAAAGCCAAAGTACATGTCAACAAGTCAATCATTGAAATTTTGGGAAATTAATGTCAAACAAATCACGATTAAGAAGCCAACCAAAATGAACTGACAAACAACTGTAAACAGAGTCCGTAATTGAAGCCACAACATTCTGATGTGTACAAGTTACAACTTGGTTACATATATATTGGTGCAACGACATGATCAACCGAAAAAATATAATGCAGGGAATTTAATCAAATACAATCAATTGATATGACAAAGTACCTTTGAGATCTACAAAGTTCACCTCTTTATTTTGCAACAAAGGTGAACATGAAAAGAATAATGCAACTGTTCTTGACCCAAAAGAAAAAAAATGCCAAGGTGTTGGCTATTGGTATCTCTAATCTATTTGCTGAATATTGATGGGAGTGAAAAGCCTCATCCTCACAGAAAAAGTAACCTAAATTCTTCATGCATTTCTCATTCAACAAAATCAAACCATAAAAATTTGACACATGATTCGTTGTTTTGGGTAAATGTATCTAACAAGAATTTGAAAATAGTTAGTTTCTAGGCTGGTTGGTACCTTCGCATTCTTGAATCACATCTGGTGAAGCACCGCCATCAGAATCATCATCTGGATCTAAGTTATCAACTGACATTACAAAAGCAGGATAAACATTTTGCACATTGTTAGGGCCATTTTCTGGATCTTGTGGAATGGGAGCGGCAGGGATATTATCTAGGTTGTCCTGAAATTCGGCACCATCTTCATCTGACTCGTAGGCAAGCATTTGCATATGTATTATCGGTGGTGGTACAAGCTCAAGCACGTGCTCTGGTTTATGTTGCTGATTGAATCGTCCAGGGATCTTAAAAGGAGCATTATAGCATGCTCCACATAGGTCAAAACCCATTTTCTCCATGCAGTCTTTACATTTGTACCTCTCCCCAATAATTGGAGACATCTGCAAAGAGCATAGCGGTATACCAGTCACTAATAAAAAATTAACACAAGCAGTTCTTAGCTTACTCTATGATTTGTAGGGCAATTCCTATTATGATTTGCAAGGCGCTTCCATTAGTTTATTATTATATTATTTATGGCGAACACTTTATCAATACAACAGTTGTGTCCACTGGTGTCCTGTGCTCTGATACTCATTTAAATCTTTAAAGAATTTGCCTCCATTTGCTTAGGAAAAGGAGTGCAGATCTAGTAAGTAGAAGTGTGGGATACAGGTGAAATTAGAAGAGTGGATCTAATAAAAGAATGCCAAAAAAAACCACATGGTAGTTTTATTAATTTAATTATCAATAAATTTATTCCAAAATTCTTTATGCAAATTGAGTTAGGTCCATTGTCTTGTTAGAGAAAGCTCATCACCAATTAAGCAACCCCTTGGCCCTTATTCTTAAATGGAAATTTGATAAGTAGACAGGGACAAAGGATATTACCCCACAGCAATCACAACCAATTCCAAAATGAACATGCTGCCCGACCCCAGACCAGCCGGATAAGTAATCATCAGAAAGCGTTGACACTGGCTGGCCAGCACGTTGACGAGCATGCACTGAATGTGAAATCAAGTTAATCTCATATGAGCACCAGAAACAAGACAGCGAAAAACAACTAAAATAAAAAAGGGAGTTTCACTAAAACACCCAAAATAGGGGCTGAAATTATAAAAAAACCCAACACCCAAAACACTTTATAAACACACCCAAAACCCATCATTACACACACTCAAAACCCATTTATAAACACACCCAAAAAATATACAATTGTTGATTTTGGGGTTGATTTTGGGTGTGTTTCTATGTTTAAATAGTGTGTGGGTTTTTTTATAAATACATGTCTAGGATTGGGTTTATTTATAATAATCTAAATAAAAAATGCATAAAAAAAAGTACTGGAAACATCAGTAGTACAAAACCAAAATATCGGCAGTATGACTAATTATGTCTCGCATAACTGAAGTACAACATAAGAAAAGGCAAAGAAGTGGGTTACGACTTCGACACAAACTACAGTGAACAAAGCCTGAAGTAATTAAGGAAAAATCAGATCCTAATATTACAATCAAAGATATTCAAAGAGGAAGAACTGGAGAAAAAGGAAAAATGGCACAAACAATAGGGTTTAGTTTTAGAATACAATAGATGGCTGTATAACCAAGAAATTCGAATCTTTGAACTGGTACAACCAGAGGTTTAGTTTTAGGAGAAAATAGTGGACATGAATGATGTTCAATCTGAATTTTGAATCTCAAAGAAGATATTTTACAATTTCTTTTCCAGTTATATAGCTCAGGCAAGGCAAGTTTTGAAGATAAACGATCATTAAAACAATATTAATTTCTGAGGCATAATACATGATCCAATCCTAGATAATGATACGAATATTATAAAAATCTGAAGCAGAATAAAAGCACTAAAATCATAAAAGTTCTTATGACTCTCATACTCACAATCAGCTTGTTTTATTGAAGATGATCGTCTCTGTGCATATATTTCAGGATATTGCTCCTCCAAGAAATGTTCTAAAATTAAGCAAACACTAGGGAATCCATTCGGATGCATGCTTTGACAAATCTGACACCTAGAAACTCCATCAACTGGGATGTTGATACAGGATTTACAATATACTGCACAAAAGAGATTTTGAATTAGTTTATATTGGCATGAGCATTCCTCTGACTTTTATGTTCAACATAACAGTTAAAGTGATGTAGGTTACCATGGCCACAATTGAGAACAACAGGTTGAAAGAGCAGGTTCTTGCATGCAGCACACAGTAGATCAGAAACAGAAACCTTATTGTGAGTTCCATTTTCAGGACCACAATCATGCAAACAGTCTTCTTTGATGGCTGCATTTCCAGTAGCTTCAACATTCTTTAAAGATGTTGTAGGCCTTTTACTATTAGCTTCATCATCTAACGTAGTTTCTGGTGAATTTACAAATGAAGGAGATCCTCCTACCCCAGACGAACAACTTTCAGAGTTCTTTGACTGAACATTGTCCAGAATATTTGACTCCTCAGTAGGATGTGATCCAGATAATGGATTATCAAATTGAGGTGAGAAGTAACCAAATTCCTCTTCTTCTTCTGGAACAGCCAAGGAAGATGAGACAGTGAATTATTTATGAAGGAAACACTATGTCATATGTCATGAGATTGCAACTGCCATACAAGTCACTCACACATGCTTCCGAAAAAAGTGAGAACATTGAGAATGTCGAATTTAATATGACATCAATCAAAACATCAGTGTTTTAAGCGTTACCTCAAAACAAAGGAACCAAATAATACAGAAAAAGGTGAGGCAAAGTAACACTTCAAAATCCACACTCCACCTAGACCTCACATTAGCAAACAAAACCATTCTTTGAGGGTAACCTAACAATCCTTAAACTCTTATTGTGAATTTATTCATAATACTTTCAAATTCGTTATCTAACCATTCTTGCACTCCAACAAAATCTTGAGACATTTTGTCTTACTGGATACAGTCATATCAATTTCCGGAAAAAAGGATTACTTACAAACACATCTATGGCAGTACAGTCTAAAAGGAGCCAAAAGAGGCATACATGCACAATTTTGATTTAAAAAGAAAAAACAAACTGCTTTGCGCTTGCAAAGTATCATATTCCATAAAATCTAGTCAATCTCATGCAATATGGCTTCTACTCTCCAAGGCATAGAAAGAAAAAAAAAACTGCTTTGCGCTTGCAAAGTATCATATTCCATAAAATCTAGTCAATCTCATGCAATATGGCTTCCACTCTCCAAGGCATAGAGGTAATTCCATTGGTTGGAATCGTGATTTTTTCAGAGCTTTGGTGCAAAACAAATTTATTGCTTTCTTTTTTCTGACCGCATATATTCCCTGTAGGTTCATAGAAAACCATTTAGCTCATAACATCTGACTAAGGAGTCCTATTTTACAAGGTATCACAAGAACTCCTTACAAGTCATTAGCTACACTCTGAAGAACCAACGAAGATGCTAATATAAGAGTACTCATGTAACCACTCATATACATGTGCACCATATGTCTAAGAATCTTGAACTTCATTATTTAATCACATTGTCTTTACATTGGAAAAAGGATGTGTGCACATGGAAACACTAGTTTCTAGGAAGACATAAGTTTTCAAAAGGAGAGTGAGTTTATCGGTGGAAATAACTAAGTTGTAAGCATAGATAACTCATTTAAAGTGGTAAGCAAATCAACCCAATAAATGTTAAAGCAGTTCAGTAAAGCTCACCTCTCACTTGTTTTTCCCGTTGCTTATATGCTTCAGGATACAACTTCTGGAGTAAGAAATGCAGCAACTGACAGATACTAGGAAAATGATTATATGGGCGCCGACAAACTGCACAATAGGACTCACGAACAGCATTCATGGCATTGAAGACACACCAGAAACATGAAATGTGGCCGCAGCCTGCAAACATCATAAAGTCTTCAGAAAGGGGTAACTAGATATTCATTGCTGCTAATTCCAAGTGAGTGAAACATATACTTCAAAATACAACGGCACGATTTATCACCTAATACAACTGGCTTGTAAAGAAGATCCCTGCAAAGTAAAGGAATCGCCTTTAGACATGTAGTTACCAGAAATAAAAGGTAAAAAAAGTTAATTCAACGGAAAAATAAATCAGCAGGTGGAACAATTTAACCTCATTTTATACTAATATGTGTATTGATGCTAGTTTAATATATGCACAACAATAAGAATCATATTGAGTCATGGCTATTAGATGTGAACAATACTCTTTGTTTGATTAGTACACATGCCCTTCTGTTTTGAAATAAATTCTTAGCTTTTTCTTATTATTTAGTTAATTCTGCTAAAGAATTAATACGTACATTGAAATTGCCTATAGTTCTTCTTGAGATTGTAATAAAAGCATGGAGAATTGTTCATAATGTGCTAAACCAAACAACAAAAATTCAATTCTCAGAAAAGAAAGTGAGACAGAGAGAAACAGCAAACCCAAATTTCAAGCTCCAACAATTGTAATCCAAACAGCAAGCAGTGAATTAAATAAACAAATTATGCAACTCGAGAAAAAAAAGAGGGCTAAATGGATTTTGATGTTGCAAAAATTGAAGAAATAGATATATAAAAAGGAAAAAAGAAAAGAAAGAAACCACGGACAGGCAAACACAGCATTTGAACTCTTCTCGGAATTCGTCGGCTTCAAGCTCTGGTTGCGGTTGTTGTTTTATTAGGGTTTTATTGTCTTCCATTTCGAATAAATCTCAGACTGCGGGAGAAGGATGATTCTTTTAACAAAAATTTCAGTGGCGGTTTATGGAGCGCCTCGACCCACAAATAGAAATTATCCATCTAATTATTATTATTTATTATTACTATTATTACTATTCTTATTTTTCAATATTATTATCAGTAAAATAACATTTTGGTCACTATAATTAGGGTCGAAAATAATTTTGATCACCATGATTTCAATTTTCCAAATTTTCAGTTAAGTCCAAATAAATAAAAAAAATAAAATGCAAATGATTAAAAACAAATTAAAAAAAATACGAATTTATATCCAACAAAAATTCTTTAAGGCACCAATTATGATGTACAAAATGAAAATATATAATGCATTATGCATAAGAGGTCTCAACTTGGAGATAAAAATTAAGAATTGCAAGCAATTGGACAATTAAGAATAGAAGGGAATAATTTTATGTTCTTGTGGAGTGACAACTCCATTGAAGTTCATGTGCTTGTAGGCCTGTCAAGTGGCCAACTATGGTCCTCAAATTCCATAACATGTGCTAAGGACTGTGCAACCTGCATCACATGTTAAACAAGTTGGCTAAAAAGAAAAATTGAAACTTTTTAAAGACAAATAAAAGTTGGATAGCTCAAATAATCATTCTTCTAGTTTAAAAAGAAATGCCTGTCAAGTGGCCAACTATGGTCCTCAAATTCCATAACATGTGCTAAGGACTGTGCAACCTGCATCACATGGTAAACAAGTTGGTTAAAAAGAAAAATTGAAACTTTTTAAAGACAAATAAAAGTTGGATAGCTCAAATAATCATTCTTCTAGTTTAAAAAGAAATGAAGTAATTCTACCTGTGATGTTGCTGGCATGGGACGATTAAATATGAATGGTAAAAAAAGGATAAAGTGATTATAGATATGAACTCGATGTCAAGTAGTTAAGAGTATTTATATATGCATACGAAGTGTGTTTAATTATCCTTTTCTCGATATGACTTGTACGTGTCAAAGTTGAATTAGCCTGAAAATGTTATTGTCTTGCAATGATTGGTATCTTTATTAAATGATGATGAGTTAATCGTTTGAAATATGTGGTGGCTCAAAGATCTTGTACGTGTCAAAGTTGAATTAGCCTGAAAATGTTAGGGTAATGATTTCCCCACTCCCATTTTGATCACTTACACTCCTTTTTCAGTTATAAAATGGAGTGTAAGTGGACAAATTTGGAGTGGGGAAATCACCACTCAAATGTTATTGTCTTGCAATGATTGGTATCTTTATTAAATGATGATGAGTTAATCGTTTGAAATATGTGGTGGCTCAAAGATATATAGTTTTATATTAATGCAAGGAAGAAGTTTTCTTGTGCTGTTGGGTTTTCAAAGTCAAACAGATAATGTTGTTCAGCAAACAAAGAAAACTGTTTAGATTAGACAAGTTTATGAAACCAGACGCTGACAGTTCAATAATTTATTTATAATTTGCAAAAAAATACATTGAAAAACAAGACTGATTCTACTTGAAGAAGAATTGGAAGGTATTTATTTCTTTGTGTTTCTTCTTCGCTTTTCTGTTTTTTACACTTGATTTTGAGTTCACAATGATCAGTGAGTTGAACAAGTCTTATTTAACGGGCAATTAGACTTGCACGCTGCAATACTTGCGCAGGAAAGACATGTGGTTGATTTCTTGCTCTTGTAATGTGTAAAAAGAAACAATGTGTAACCGAGTAAAGTTGTAAATACACTCTTTCTTGATATAGGGTAGGTAAATTTCGTCTAATATATATGCCCAATTATT